TTTTATTAAATACTAACAATATTTTCATTTATGTTTATATAGAGAAAAAAATATGGATGATAATGATATGAGCAAGAGGCCAGTGGAAGATTAGATTATTAATTTATGAAGTTTTTTAGTTTGATTGATTTAAAGTTTAAACTATGACTTTTGTTGTTACGGTAATACTTTTATATGTTTGTTTTAAAATTGTTTAACTTTTGTTGGTGAACTTGATTTATATGTTAGTTGTTTTTATTTGGAAAATTAATTTTTGCAAATTGCAAGTTATAATATTATACATCAATGTAGATTAGTTAGGCATGAAACGGAAATATATTAATTTTGCAAGTTATAATATTATACATCAATTTCGATTACATATACTCTATGCAATTAAAGTTGTACCGGTCCAAACGGGTCCAAAAACCGGAAAACCCGGACCTGGACCCGGACACGGACACGACTCATCCGGTCCGGTCCATGGTCCACAAAATTCTCCATAACCGGTCCGGTCCTGTCCGGTCCGGGCCGGTCAAAATGCTCACTCCTAGTTATAATGTTCACTAATTTTGGAGAGTAATGAAGGAATATGGAGAATCTAATAATTATTCACTAAATAATAATTCATAACAATTTAATCTTTATAGTCAATATTTCTTATTTTTCTTATAAATTCAAATTTTCAAATATTTAAAAATTTATATTTAGTTTTTCTTTTAAATAAACTCATGTAATAGATAACTCTCGCATCTAATTTTTAATAAAAAGCTTTTATAGATGGATCAAAATTATCAATAGTTCGTACACCCCAAATAGCCTTACAATTAATTGTAACAGATAGCACCACCCAATTCACAAATAGATTGAGCATATAGCAGATGAAGACTAGCCATATGCCATTTGGATGGCTATTGTGTGAAATTTAGTTTTTTTTTTTTTTCTATTTTTTTATAAAATCATTATCTTTTTGGCTAAATTTCTGAAATTTTACATTTTCCTTTTAGTTTTTTACAGCTCAAAGTCAATTTGTCCAAAGATTGTTAGTGATTTGACTTATTAGTGAATTTCTTGAATTAGTGACATCTTCAAGCTGAAATTTGCCGACCTCTATATGACCATATGCACAAAAACATGGTGGACCAATATGATGCACGACATTAAAATGTTGTTTTAATAGGCATGTCCCCACCTCCAAATCAAATAATTGGAATTCCAGCTTTCTTACAGTCAATTAATCATGTGTGTTTAGATATAAAGCAGGCTGTAAGTATATCTCTCTGTTTAGCACAAGAACCATTCAAATTGATTTGATATTACCATAATCTGAAGAAGGAAATAGATCTTCCGATTTCAACTTGAAATTTACTTTTTTGACGAATCAAAATGGAAGTCGTGCCGTATACAGATCCGAAAGACAACTCAAACTCACCGCCATGGCAAGAAATGTTCAGATCAGCTTCCACCCACAAACCACCGCCATCGCCACCACCAACTCCCCCGGAGCCACCGCAACCCACAACCAACAGAGACAAGAAGGAGGAGGATTCTTCTTCACTCTCAGGTGACCCTCAGGTGCGTCTTGCACTATACATAGCCATGGCTCACGCCGGTTTCGGTTTTGCTTTCTTTATCTTCTACGGCGTTTATAGACTGCTCGAACAATATCTCCGGCCGATGCTCTGGGCTATTCTTTGTTCCATTCCCCTTAGAGGAATCCAAGAAACCCTAGTTTCATTTTGGTCTGAGCCGTTGCAATTAGGGCTCACAGAAACCATACTCGCCATACCTGTATCTGTGTTCAGGGTCTTTATAGGTGCCTTAGTTGAATTCAGAGATATCTTTTATAAACTAATTCGTCGTAAACCGAAGAAACCACATCATATGAAACGAAAACGAAGTGGGTTTTCGATTGTGTTAAGATGGTTGTTATCTTTTTGGGTGTTTGTAATGGTGTACGAAGAATTGGGTGGTTTGGGTGCTATTACTCTATTAGGGATTGGGTTCATGTTCACTTCTAGCAATGTCGACTCCACCATGTCATTTGTTTCCTCTTTCCGGAGTCATAGTTTCAAGCGTAGCCCTTATTCCGCGATCTTTACAAAACCCATCCTAAACAGATTGAAAACATTAGTTGCAATCGGATTGATTGTTGGAATGATTGTGGGTTCTTTAACGATGGTCACTTTCTTTTCATATAAAGTTGGAATCGAAGGAAAAGACGCGGTTTTTTCGATTAAATCTCATATTGAAGAAAGCAATTACGCGGAAAAGATCGGATTGAAGAAATGGATAAACGAAAACGATGTTCCTGGAATGGTGGATCGATACACAAAGCAGTTTTACGAAACTGTTTATGATCAGATTGATAGTTTAGCAGTGCAATATAACATGACAGAAATCGTTGAAGAAATGAAACAAATACTTTCCCCGAGGTTTACAAACATGTCAGCTCGAACAACCGCATTAACAACACCGAATCCATACGCCGAAAAAATCATAAGTTTAAGAAAGCGGATTACTAATCGCGAATGGGCTGAGATTTACCCGGAGCTTAACGACCTGTTGAAAGAAGTTGTAATCAGTAGAAATGATATAACCGAAAAGGCGAAAGCAATCGCGTTTCAGGGAAAAGACGTGGTGGTTCGTGTTTTCGCGAGCAGTAAATCGATTTTGGGTGGCAGCGGGCGGTTTTTCTTTGTGGTGGTGGAGTCGATCGTGTCTGGGGCGGCTGAGCTTTTGAATTTTGCTTCTCAGATGATGGTTTTTATATGGGTTTTGTATTCGCTTATAACGTCTGATTCGGGTGGTGTGACTGATCAGGTTATGAGTATGATCCCGGTGTCGAAGTCAGCCAGGACACGGTGCGTTGAGGTTCTTGATAAAGCCATTTCTGGGGTTCTTCTGGCGACTGCTGAGATAGCTTTCTTTCAAGGGTGTTTGACTTGGCTTTTGTTTAGGCTGTTTGATATTCATTTTTTGTATATGTCTACGTTTCTTGCGTTTATCAGTCCATTTTTCCCGATTGTTCCGTATTTTATCTCAACTGTTCCTGCTGCGTTGCAATTGGCGTTGGAAGGTCGATACGTGGTTGCTGTTTGTCTGTCCATTATTCATGTGGTGCTTGTTGAATATGGTGCCAGTGAAATTCAAGAGGACATACCTGGTCACAGTGCGTATCTCACTGGGTTAAGCATCATTGGTGGAGTCGCATTGTTCCCATCTGCAGTCGAGGTAACATTTTACTCCTTTCGTTACCACTTGAATTTTTATTTTCTTTTAACTTTTAAATTTAATTTAACAGGGAGCAATAATGGGACCACTGATAACGACAGTTGTAATAGCTCTCAAGAATTTGTATGTAGAGTTTGTTTTGGACGATCCAAGTAAACAAGAAAAAGACTGAACTGCCTTCTTTTCTTTTCTTTTCTTTTCTTTTCTCTGTATATTTACTTTATTGCCTGTTGGTTGGTTGTAGTTGTATGGATTTATGACACCCTCCCCCTTTTTGTTTATTCTTTCAGGATTTTGTACTATTGTATTGTATGTATATGCGTGTGTGTTTATGTATGTGAGTTAGTCTGTGATTACAGGTCTGTAAAGATATTTTTGTTGTGCTTTTTTTTTTTTTTTTGGCTGTTCAATGTTCAATGTTCAACGGACTTGTACTTTATAAAGATGATTTGACGTGCTTTTGAAATGAGAAGCTTTTTTCCAAGTAGTTTGTTATATCCATTATCCAATAAAAATATAATCCTACACAATTAGCAAGTTTATAACTTGATTTATATGGTTCTTTTGATAGTTGTTAACTGGATTAGAACTTATTGAATTGGAAGCTCTAACTGAAACTTGCTTTTTGATTTTGTATTTAATTGATAATTCACACAACGTTTTTTATAATAATTTATTTATGATTTACCATTTAATTTATAACATTGCATTTTTTTATAGTAAAGAAATTAAAGATTTACATCTTTTGCAAACAGTATCTCCAAAATCTCCGCTGCTGGCATAAAGGTACATATCAAGTACTTTAAATGGATCAAAATACCACCATGAAAGCTCTCACTAGTTTCAAAAGGTAACAATCGAAGATCTTCCAGCACACTTGGATCCTTATAAAGCTTTCCAATCAATCTCTTAATAATCTGAGAAATAGTTGATTTAGGATTTGTAGCACCAAATATAGCCACTGCAGAACCTAAAAATCTGTGATTCTCAACCACAGCAGGTGTCTCGCGCTTTGATTCATCATTCAAATAACAAACACATCAATTCCACCACACTTTGCAACTGCCATAGCACAATTCTCATTCCCAATATCAAGTCCAACCACACTCATTCTAAATTCTCAAATACAATCTTTGAAAAACAAACACTTATATGATCTTTAACAACATCTAATTCATACAAACACACAAATCAGTTCATAAGCACACCACAGCAATAACAAGGAACTCAAACATATTTTTGCTCATTTGGACCATAAATTCGTGTAACAAAATACACACAACTTTTTACTCATTTGGACCATAAACTCATGTAACAAAATCACACCCCAGCAACAGCAAGAAACTCATGAACAGCAAAATCAGATGAAGAAAAACACGACAAACAACAAAATCAAAGCAATCGAAACAGGAACATGGGAAACCTCAAACATGCCATTTTTTTTTAATCGAGACCACATTTGAACCCATATCAAACACCTCTTAATTTTCTTTCTAGTAAAACCATTAAAATGACCATTATTGTATCTAAAATAATCCACCATTTCGCTAAATTGATTTCAAGAAAAGCCTTTCGTCAAATCCACTACAAAATCAAACTTGTTTCACAAACTTGCTTCTCCACCAAATGATGGTGTTATTTTTTTGGCAAAATGAGCAGTTATTTTGTAATAAATTTCTAAAAAATTGTCCAAATGACTATTTTGTGAGAAATGTTAAAAAAAAAAATGTTTTGACCAGACTATTTGTTAAGCCTAATCTTTTTTCCTACTCATAGCCGCTCACTGATTGAAAGAAACACAAGGAGCAAATGTACATTAATAATAACTAAAGAATCATCTTTCCCATATTAGCAACTTCAATACTATCAAGCATTATACAACTTCAAAATGAGCAGATGACAGCTTCAATAGTATCAAGCATTATACAGAGATAACAAACAAAATGGAAGCAGAAATTCTTAGAATATTAGCAACTGGATGGATATCATTACTTCATGTATTTATGAAGAAATTTGCGATGGAAGTCGCTACGAATGGTGTCATTGATGAAGCGCTTTGGAGCCTTGGTCTCTCCACGAGCCTGGTTCTTGAACACCACATCATCATCCCACCTGTCACAAATAAACAACAATGAATCACACACACACATTTATATATTTAAAGAAAAGAGATTGCAATACCTTCGTTTAACATTGAAGGAAGTGGAGGTTGGATTATTAAGCAAAGGGTTCCCTCTTATCAACTCAGCCTCTTTCAGTTTAAGCTCCTCTTCTTGCTCTTCACGTTCCTATACAAACCAAATCCATGTCATATATAACTAAACAAATCTCAGGTAAGGAAAAGATTCTTATTACAGAAAAAACATAAATGAATAATATCAATATGTTTAAGAAAGACCAACTCACTTTGCGTAGTTTTTCCTCGGCTCGTTCCTTCTTGATTTGTTCAAGCTCTGCTAAAAGTGCCTCTGTATCATCTTCTTCATCATCATCATCATCGTCTTCATCACTAACAACAGAACAAATTTGTAAGCCATATTCAAAACATTAAGGTTTCTCAAATATTCAATTCACAATACTCATACATGACTTGATAAGTAGTTGTAGTTGGACTTAAACCTGTTAAAATTACTAGGTAAAATACCAACCTGTCATCATCACTTTTGATGTCTAAATCAGCATCATCAGCATCTGCAGTGCGTGGAACAATGCGATCCTCAATTTCTCTCCTTGATCCTAAGTATGGATAATAAATATTTAAACAGTAGATTAAAATTTTGCATTTTGGTTACAAAAGCAATAAAAAAATCATGTTATTAGATGCAATACGTACCTTCCAGTAGGTGATGACCACTTTTTCTACGATCTCTATCCTCTGCAATCAATCACATACACAAGTCAACACTAACTAATATTACATTACAGATGAAAGATAAAAGAGTCATGTCACATGTGATTTTACCACCATAACCCTTGTCTTTAGATGACAAGTGTCTCCGCTCACGCTCCACCAACTCCTCTTTCAGGTCTCTCCTTTCTAGTTCATCCTGGGTGTCCTGACCATCCTTTCTGTAGCAACAAACAACAAACTAAAAAGATTAATCTCCCTTCTGCAATTTCATCAAGTTTCGTATGCGTATTATTAGATTTGTTTCAATGCTACAAGATTAAAGTAAAATACAATATACAAGAAAAAGTAACCTGGGCTTGAGAGTTGTGTGAGAAGCAATATCCCTTGAGGAATACTTCTGAGAAGGACCAAATATACGTGTTCCACCTTGTTCGTTACCACCTTTAGCAGGTGCCCATGTCGGTCTAGCAGCCGTCGTCATACTTTCTCACGACTCTTTCTGAGACAACCTGCCGACTCAAATCCAGAAGGTAATCTGATTAATCACTGATTTTGTATTCTACAGTATTATAAAGGTTAAATTGGATCCTAAAAATACCTAATTAAACATAAACTAAAATCAAAACAAATATATGAATGAAAACCGACTGAAATCTTAGAACCAAACCTTATTTAATCGGAGAAAGAATTGAAACGCCAGAAATTTAAGGCTAGGGTTTTACCTTGACACGATGATTATCCAAGTCGACCGTCAAACGCCTGAAAGCAAAGAAAGATAAAACGGGATCTGGCCTCTTTTGTTAACACCTTGTTTGCGAGCCTCCCAAATCCGAATAGAAAATATACAAAACTTCCAAAACATTCTGGTTTTCAAAAATATCAAGTTTAGTCCTAAGTTCAATAAATCTTACGGATCGTTCCTGTGGTTTCAAAACTTTTAATGTTTAGTCATTCCGTCTAACTTCGTCAGCTTTCTGCCGTTAAGTGAGGGGCATTTTCATCATTTCAATACCAGGGACCATTTATAAGGTTGTCTCTATTAAAAAAAAGAAAAAATATATAATTATTTAATAAAAGGGCCCCACCCTCTCTCTCTCACACACACACACAGGTATTTAATAAAAGGGGCATTTTCATCCCTCTCAAGTAGGGGTGTCAATTTATGACACGACACGACAAAAATACACGACACGAAACGAAATTGGGACGAAATCAAAATTCGAATTCGTTTTCGTGTTGTGTTCGTGTCAAGTTTAAAAAACACGATGTCGTGTCGTGTCGTGTTCGTGTTTACAAATGTACACGAAATTGACACGATTGAGCATGTATTTGTCGTGTTTTCGTGTTTGTCGTTTTTATCGTGTTATATATGATTAAATATGAATTAAATAAGATAAAAGTTATGTAATATTATCTTTGTCGTGTCGTGTCGTGTTGTCGTTTTTTAATTGGTTCGTTTTCGTGTTAGTGAAAAAAAACACGACATCGTGTCGTGTCGTGTTCGTGTTACAAAAAACATTGTCGTGTCGTGTCGTGTCAGATAAAAATACGACACGACGGCCCGATTTGACAGGCCTACTCTCAAGTATTTCACAGGAGGAGCGTATTCATCGTTCATATATTCAGTGGTGTTAAATTCATTCATGAACAAAATCGCATTCGGATCAATTTTATGAACTCGATTGAAAAAAAATGACGATGCGTTCTTCCCGAGTCTCTTCTCGAAGAAGTTATGATGCAGATTCTCGTTCATCACATCCCAACCCATCAACCTTCCTTTATATCGATTCACCACCGAATCAACTCTTTCTTCTTTCTCGATGACAAGCTAGCTAAACAACCACTGATATTTGTTGTTGTTGCCTTCCTTTTTCTTTTTCAACTTTAATCGAGAAAATCTCCAGCAGAGATGGGGTTTTCCGACATTCAAGAGGGCAACAACCCCCTTCCACTTGACGGGAATGGAGAAGATGCGAACGGAAGAAATTGACGGGACCTTCGGCGATGGTTGGGCCAATCACAAAGGGAGGGAGAGACACCAATTTGTGGCGACAGGAAAACGGAAGGGCATCTTTCACCCAATCAATTGAAAAACAAACATACATACACTAAATCCACATCTCCTGCTGGGTTTTTTTCCCTAAATTCAAAAACATTTTTCAATCGAACCACCTGTCAACTAAACCATTGCCTCCGCTCAACCAGAGAATCAAAACCTTTGGATATCAATCTTGATTTTTGTTTCGAATTCAAAGTTCAATGATTTGAAGTCATATGAGAAGAACCCAGTAAGGAATCAAAGGAATCAAGTTGATTAATCTCTTTGGAGGTTAGTTTGAATGAACTCACTGTTATGATGTTTCTTTGTTGTTGAATGTGTTTGAGGACAAGAACGACGGAGATGACGGTGGTCGGACCCGTTGATGAACATAACTAGGTCGGGGACTGGAACTTGGGTTCAATTAACTGAGAAATGCAAACGAGGGGTGCTTCGGGGTGGCTTGATTTGAACTTGGATACCGTTTGATTTTTTGGCTAGAAGCTTAATGGCTTTGTGTTCCGCGACCGTAATTCCTTTCGCTGGAAGAGTGTTTGTCGTCGATAGCTAAGCACTTGAAGATGAAATCAAAGAGGCGAGAAGTGTGTATGTTTGTTCATCATATCTGAATTGGGGAATAAGTGGATGGGGGTATACCAGTGGAAAAAAAGACAAAGACTGTGGATTTCCTCAAAAAAATCACCATGATTCAACATTGTAGATGATGGACCAAAAGAGAGAGAGAGAGAGAGAGAGGGAGGGAGGGGGGCCTTTAATATTAAATAATTATAATAATTATTTTTTAAATAAGGCAAAAACTTCATAAATGGTCCCTGTGTAGTGAAATGCCAAAAATGCCCCTGACTTAACGGCTAAATGGTAACGGAGTTAGCCGGAAGGACCAAATGTTAAAAGTTTTGAAACCACAGGGACCATCTATGAGGTTTTTTGAACTTAGGAACTAAACTTGATATTTTTGAAAACCATAGGGATCGTTTTTGAAGTTTTGTCTAGAAAATAAAATTTTGAGTAAATTAGGCGAAGGGAAGGGATAAAGGGTAATATATTATTCGACTAGTTTGTAACCGTGAGAACCATAGTTAAAATTAATTAAATTTTAATAATTAAAATTTAAAATTATTAATAATTTATTTTAAATAAATTATTAATTAAGAGGTTTTTTTAGTTATATAAAATTATAATCATTAATTTAAGTAAATATGTAAAATTATATCACTTTATAATTTGTATTAATTTTATTTTAATTTTTATTCTAATATTGTTAATTTAATGTAATTATAATGAGAAATTTAAATATTGAAATTTGAAATGAAGAATCAATATGTTGACAAATAGTATGCATTAATTATAAGACATAATAAGGTGAAATATAGCAAAAGAAAAATAAAATTTGCATTAATTATGAGAGTTAATATGATGACACATGTTAAAAGGATATTAAAAACTACTCTTTTATTAGAATAGGGAGAGTTGTACACATTTGGTCACTGGGTTTATTTTTTGTTCATGTTTACCCCTTCAACTTGTTAAATTGTACACATTCAGTTCTTATGACCGGTAATTTCAGGTTAACCGGTAAAAATGTCTTAATAGGGTAATATATTTCTCATTTTATACACATTTAGTCCTTAATATTTTTGTACACATTTAGTCCTTTTTTGTTGCAATTTTTTTTGTTTTTGTACCCATTCAATACTTATGAATGTTTTCTTTAAGTTTTTCTCACAACATCTTACATGGAACAATCATTAATGAGGTGTTTTAGGTTTTTGATGCTTATGTCCTTCGCGATCTCGACTACTTGATTGCTTAGGTCATGTGTTTTGAACATCATAACTTTTTCATACTATCTCGGATTTTAACGATCTTTATATCTATGTGTTTGTATTTTAGTCTACTACAACTTTCATTTAGATTAATCCCATTAAAAAGTAATATTTTTTTAATTACGATCTTTATATCCATACTTTTTTTTATGAATGTATTTATGGATGTTTTTTTTTTATAAAATCATAAGTAAAAACAAATTATATTTTACCGGGAGTAATCTTAACAAAAGTTATAGCAGACTTAAAAAAACGAACACGTAGACATAAATATCGTTAAAATTAGATATCATATGAAGAAGTTACGACGTTCGGAATACAAAACCTAAGCCAAACCACAAGACCTATGCAACCAAGCAATCGAGGTTGCGATGAACATAAGCATCAACAACCCCAAACACCTCATCAATCAAGGACGGACGTAGAATTTGGTAGTATGTGTTATCGGTAAGTAGAAAAAAGAAAAAAAAACCGAAAAACATCGAAAAATTTACACTGCGTACAGAAAAAACAAGGGTTGTCGGTACCACTGCGAGCTCCCAAAGAGAATCGTCCATGTCATCAATGATAATCTCATGTTAGATGTCGTGAGAAAAACCTTAAATAAATCATTCATAAGTACTGAATTTGTACAAAAACAAAAAATGAATTTGAAACAAAAAAAAATTAAGGACTAAATATGTACAAAAATATTAAGGACTAAATGTGTATAAAATGAAAAATATATTACCCTAATAAGTTATTTTTCCCGGCTAACCTGAAGTAACCGGTCATAAGGACTGGTTCTGTACAATTTAACAAGTTGAAGGGGTAAATGTGGATGAAAAAAAAACTCAGTGACTAAATGTGTACAAATCGAAAAATATATTACCCTTTTAAGTCATTATCCCTTAAGTGAATGATAATGTGGTTTGAGGTAATTTGGACGATGCTTAACTTATTTTTTTTAATTCAGAAGGTTTCTATTATTTGTTTTTGTTGTATGTGTGTTGGTCTTTGTCTTATCTAAAAAGACTATTTTGCCATTGATTTTTTAATTTATTTAAATAAATACACCCCAAATTCACTTCCACCACACCTTACTTACCTCACCTTATTTAAATAAATTAAAAAATCAAGGGCAAAATAGTCTTTTTAGGTAAGACAGGAACTAAACGCGCAACAAAAACAAACAGTAGGGACCTTCCAAATTAAAAAATAAGTTAGGGACCCAACATGCAAATTACCCCAAACCATAGGGAGCATTCGTGAAATTTACTCTAAAAAGTTTGTTTTCGAGTTAAAGAAACTAAAGAAAAATTAATCTTTTTTTTTTTTCAAAATTTTTCGATTCGGAAGGAAAGTTAGGAGGAAAAATGATATTTCTCAATGTTATAAAAACTGGTTTTTTAGTACTGATATGGTTATCGGTTTTCAGTTCAACCGGTTTAACCGGTTCGACCGCTGAGTAAACTGGTTTCAATATTTTTCATCTTTTTTTGTATTTTCCTACAAATACATACATAAATAAAGAATTTGATGACCACAAGTTCAACCATTAAAAATATAAATGAAAACAAGTTTAAGATCAATATAAATATATTAAAATAACACATAACTATAAGTTTTACATCAATACATATACATTAAAAAGAAAATAAAGTCCTAAATGAATACAAGCACATCGAAAAACTTCATAACATTTATCAAAAAACTTCCTAACATTTATCATGTGCTTTTTATTTAGAAAAATCTTAATAAATATGACAAAACAACCAAAGTTTAATGTAAAATATTTCAATTACATGTGTTTTATTCTATTTGTAGTGATTTTTTTTTTAATTTTAATGTATTTTTATAGGATTTAAAGTGATATAATTACAAGATTTTTATAAATAATAAATTTTAAACCAATTTAACCATATAAAACTATCTTTATTTTGTGCAACGCGTACTATACATAAAAATAAATGGGCCGATTATAAGTTGTTGTTTGTTTTTTCGAAACGAAAATTCATGAAGTTTGCAGACTACCTTCACAATCCTTTTCAGCAGAAGATGTAGACAAAACGGTTGCAACTTGTAATAAGAAATTTGTTTGTTTTTTTAACATTTGCAGGTTTATACAATTAACTAAAACTTAAATAAACTGATTTTACAAACAGAAAATAACTCTCAACATCGAAAATTTTAATAATTCTAGTCTTAAAACATAGAAAAAATATTAAAACAAAATGTAAAAAAAATACTTAAATTTTTTAAAATATGTAAAAGAGGTTATTAGTTTTTTTTAGAAAAATCTATTTTTAAAGAACATAAAAAAAATATGAAACTATCGCAAACAATGTATAGAAAATTCATAAAAAATCACACATGTTAAAAAATGTGTAATCTAAACTGAAAATATTATTAAAAACGGTAATTTTTGTTTTAAAGCAAGTTATAAAAAATTATGAAATTATAAAAAGAAATTGCATCAAATCTGTAAATCAAAGTTAAAAAAAAATCAAAATTAAAAAAAAATCAAGTTATACCAAATTTTAAAAAAATAATAATAATAAAATCATTTGAAAAAAAATGAAAGTTGAAAATGATTGAAGGGACAAGTCAAGTGCTATTTGGAACAAAAAACGCGCGTATGTTTTGTAATCTGAAGCCTTCCAAAAAAACAAACTGTTGTAAGATAAAAAATATTACGTATGTGTTGCGTCGCGCAAGAAAAATGGTCTAGAAAGGTTTTTCTAAAAAAACAAATATCCTCTAAGTCAAAGTATCAAACCGGTTATGAAGTTTTTGCGCATTATTTATTTATTTTTAATTTTTTTTATGTGACAATTGGCAATTATCTTATTTTTTTTTAATTTTTTTTATATAACCAATCATTATTGTTTTATCCTAATAAAG